GTTGATCACAGGGCCAAAACACAATCCTTTAAGAAGGCTGGATTACCTAAAGCCATGTTAAAGAGATGGGAGGAATAATTATCCACTTAGTGAGGTAGTGTATTCCTTCACAGGAACCCTGCCCTCTGGCAGGCTCTCAGAGAGCCATCACCATACAGCTAAGCCTGCCTGCTGCTAGGTCATGTTGCTGCTTGCTGACCTCCACTGCTGAACACACCAGCCTGAGTCAAAAGTCACATCTGTAAGGATTCAGGCATTTTGTTGGCCTGCCCCTATCACCTGGCAGAATGTGCTCAGGCAGTACTCTGGTCAGCCCAAAGTTCCATGAGTACTAGTCTGCAGGCAGGTATAAAGGACCCCTTTAGAAGTCAGACCCTATCCACTTAGGCTCTCTTTTGCTTTCTCTTCCTCTCTCTTTCCTGCTTTTGGTTGGCCACCAACTACCCCCCTCTCTTTTTCTCTCCCCCCCCTTCCCCTCTTTCTTTCTAAATAAACTCATTTAAGCTCTATCTGCCTGGCGTGTTATTCCCTCCTCCTCCAGCCCTGGTCACCCTCACCTGCTATGCAACCTGCTATGCTCTCCCACGTGGTCCCTTACCTTGGGAACCCACTCACTTGGGATCCTCACCCAGGACCACTCACCCCCACCCCTTCCAAGCTTTTATTCTTATAACTGTAACTAAAGAACAACAACCTTTTCCTCTCCTCTTCCAGCTCCTTCCCTCCAGCAGATGCCAACAGTCATAGCTGGCATGTCCGTGTGCTTTTTCTCTCAAAGTCCAGTCCTTGAGGTTCTACTTTAAAATTACTTATTAAGGAGACTAAGAACCCAAAGAGGGACCTTCATCTTCCTTCCCTCTTATTATATGCCACCTAATGTAGGATCTGTAAGGTCTTCAGGAGCACTTTTGTGTCTAGACTGGATGGTGGTTGTGATATCTCCGGCCATTCTGCATGTGTATGTCGTTACTTACCAGTCATGGTATAAGATCACAAAGTCTTCTCTCCTTTTATGTCTCCCGTCCCTCTTAATACAGGAATGCCTCTGCTTATAAATTAAAGATGGTCACTGGTATGAACAAAACAGGGTTTAGGAGACCCACAAAGCCCAGTGCAGAAGACAGTGTTAGCAGTCACACACCATTAGTTACTCAGGAATAGGAGAGCAGGATTTGTACTCAGTCTGAGATATTTTATGAACATCAGTGCACTGTCAGTTTGAAGAGTATAAAAGCAGTGAATACCTGTTAAAATGCTGCTAAAAAGAGGCACATGCCTAGGATGGAAACAAAAGTAGAGGTAATTTTTCAAATTTGCAAGTCAGGGGACAGTGCTAAATATTACAAAGGGTCTCTGGCACAACAAAGAAAAAAAAAATAAGACCAAAGAGTGAATGATGATTTAGAAGGAGAGAGTAGAGAATGCAAAAGTGAAAAGGGCAACCTGCTGAAGTCACAGTGAGTTAGCAGCAAAGGATGATCTTGGTCTAACCTTTTTAGTGCCAGAGAAGGCCAAGAGTTCAGGAGAGAACTTAAGACAGTGCCTGTAGACGACACATCTGATCGAAGCCAATGGTACTTCCAAGGACTGAAGGTTGCACACCCATGCCCTCAGAGATCCAGAACAGCAAATGGTTGGATGTCACTGATGGCGTAATCATCCCTGCAGGCGTGAAGGCATTCAAAGAGACAGTAATTAGAAATTTCCCAAGGATTTGGAGTTTTCTCGGAGTCTCATGCTGGGGAAGAAAAAGATTTGAAATCTGGTACCCACCTGGGAAAGAACTTGTCTCTCTGAAAGAGGTTTCTCAAAGTGCTGAAAACCTGTAGGACATACCAGATGTCAGATTCTGAGACACAATGAGCCAGTTTTGGTCAGACCCATACCATGACCAGGACTGTTGAGCCATCATTCTTCTTGCCCTCTATTTAACACAAAATGTCATGCCAATACCCTGCTGGGGAGGCTGACCCTGGATCTCATTGTTTGGTCTTCTTCCCATGGAAAATCTCCCTTTTCTGCTTTCTGTTATTGCTTGCCTTTTTAATTGGCATATGCAAGGCCAATGGCCAAGGCTAGCTGGTTAGGCTGCCAGGGCTCAGGCTTTGGGCTCCAGTAACAAGGATGCTGTAGGGAGCAGAGGCCCACGGCAAGGAGACATGCAGCAGAAGGTAAAGAGGAGAAGTGTGCTCCCAGATGTAAAGCTTTCTCAGTACCACTGATGCTTGTAACTATGGAAATGACTCTGGATAACAGCAACTGAAGTGGATCTTAGTCATTTAAGGGTGATTTTTAAGAAATGGAATCTAGGGGCTGGGGGACGGCTCAGCAGTTAGGAGCATATACTGCTCTTGCAAAGGAAACAAGTTTAAATCCCAGGATCCATGTTGGATGTCTCACAACCAGCTGCAGCTCCAGATCCAGAGGGATCCCATGCCTCTGGCCTCTACTGGCACACTCATGTGTCCAAGTCCCTACATATAAACAAATAACCCTTTAAAGAAGAGGGACAGTTATGTTTTAGGGAGAAAAACAGACATGGAAAAACAGACCGCTGCAGGTGGCGGTCCTGAGGTTGCAGCTAAAGGGTTGTAAGCATTAATCCTAGAACTGGGCAGGCTGAGTCAGAAGGATCATGAATTCAAGTGTAGCTTGGGCTATATTATGAGATTTGGTCTTAAATAGAAAGCCAGACAAATGGCCTCAATAGGTTCACCTGTATTAAGTAACATCCATCTATTTTGGAAGAGAGCCACTATCACCATCATCGTTTATCACTGTGGTAACAGAATCTCAAAGAGGAGAATGAACACATGGACACTTTCCTTCTGGTACCATATCTTACACTTCTGTAGCTGCCTCCCCGTGTAGACTGATTGAGTGAATTAATATCCCAAGACCAATCCAGATGAGAATTCTGCCTGTTATTTCATACCGTTAAAAAAAAACAATGGCTCAGTGTTTTGATTTCCCATGTCACTTCAGTTCATGTTCTCACCTGGTCTTACCAGTGAGGGACCTGGAAGGGACACGTGGCACCAGGCTCACTTCTATGAGAATATGTATTCCTGATGGCCCTCACAAAGCATATCAAACCACAGCCTCTTGGTTGAGGGTTGCTCCCTGTGTGGGTACATCTTTGTATGAATAAAGAAAAAAGAAAATGGTTCACAGTTCTGCCCAGGCTATCTCAGACAGAGATTAGCGTCTTCCATGTTCCTGTGTAAACTGTGCTGAAGCAAACCTCATATAGCTCAACCTAATCCTCTCTTGACACATTTGACAGGATAGAAGAGAATATGATGGGACCAAGGTATTATAAAATACTGTGTCCAAGGAAGGGAACAAGCAGGCAAAGGAGATGCAGGTCTGGCATTCCCAGTAAGCCAAGACCACATGGAAATACTTAGATTAATCAAAAAAATGTGCTAATAATTAGGTCAGAGCCAGCCAATAAGAAACCATTCACATTGGCCAACAGGTTCATAAATTATACAGCATCTCTGTGTGTTATTTGGGGCTGATGGGGCTGTGGGACCAGGCTGGTGGGGAAGTGCTCATAAAAGGAACACATCCAGGAATCCTGACATGACAGCTCACGGGGAGCTAATCTAAATATTCATTTGGAGCATTGGAACAGCTATCAACAAACTCATTTTGAAGACAATATTATCACTTCAGCTGTCAACAGACAACAGGTCTCCACAATACATGGCTTCCAGCCATTGTATCAGTAAGAGAGAAATATAATTGAACTTCACAAATACCTGTGAATCACATCCTTTCCATTTTAAAAGGGAACCCAGAGTCATTTAGTATTTTCAAAACCTAGCTGTTGCAAAGGACATTAGCCTCATAAATCATTTCTTGGAAAAACTAAGAAGTTGTGAAGCAAACTACTTTGTAGTGACCTAGTTTGTCTCTTACTTAGACTCGTGCACTGTGGCTTTGGGTGCCTTTTGTTTAAAACGCCTATTATTCTCTTCCCGGCTGTGTATAAATTGGATTCTTTACAAAGTGCAGAGCAAATCAGCTCTACAGTACCTGTTGCATGTAGAGTTCAGGTTCCTTGAGACGGCATCTCAGGTAGCACGGTCAACCAGATACTGTGTCCATCCTACTGCTTTCCAGCAGAGCAGAATGTGTACTGAGATAAGTTCCTTCCTATTAATCCCCACATTGGGATCCTGGGAATAGAGTACAACACCAGACCTGCCTTTTGCTGCATAGACCTACAGGGCAGGCAGTCAGCTGTGCTAGGGGGCCAACAGGATGTCCTGCCATCTCCCTCAGAGCTGTCTCCTGCAAGGCAAAAGTCATATGCTACCCAGATAAAGTAGAAAATCTGGCCCCTTGGATAAAACAAAAGAATGTTGATTTAGATAAGCAATGAAAATAAATCGGATTTGGAGAAGGGATAAGTAATCTTTGCCTAGAAAGGCAACAAGACACTGCTGTTGAAGAAGGCATAGAAGAAGAAGAAGAAGAAGAAAAAAAAAAAAAAAAACAAGTTTTAGGTCCTTAAGGAAGAGTCAGGAGATGCTCTTTGCCCAAAATTCTCTACTGCTCCAAAGTCAGGTCTTTGACTACCAGGGAGGAGACAAGTAGGCTGAGAACCATGATCCCAAGGTTCAGACCAAAGCTCTGTGACTGAGGCTGATTCCAGGCAGGACAGCAAAGAAGCCCACTCTTATGGTAAGCCAATTGGGAGACAAGCAGGGGCAGAGCTAGGGCAGCAAGAACAAAGGGAGGTGGATTCAGGTGCAGTCTGAGCTTGGTCAGCTGGAAGCTGAGGGTGTAGAAAACTGCTGTGGTAGAAGCCTGGGAACAGAAGCCAATCATGGAAGCTTGTGGAGTACCCACACTAAGGAGAGCGACAGCAACAGCAAAGTGCGCCTCAGCCTCTGACTAGTTGGTTCATTCTGTAATCCCTGCCATTCATCTGCACAATAATGGCCGGAAAAAAAAAATGAGGCACTCTGAAGAATAAATACATTAACTGACCTTGATCTCTTTTTGTTTTTCTTTTTTAAGGTGACTAGTATTTAGCTTTCGGGAGTCAGTCCTCCCTCAGGCCATGCAGGTGTCTAGGGTTAACCCAGGCTAAGAAGGAAGCATCTTTACCAACAGAGCCACTTCGCCATCCTTATCTAAGGTCTTACAGAAGAAATAAGGATAAATAAAGCCTGTAGGCTTGGACGATTGTGCATTTTTAAGAAAATATCCAGGCTACATTAGGATAGTAATTCACCTTTAATCTGGAAAGTATTCATTAGAAAGAGAATAGCTTGGTGAAAACACTTATTCTTTTGACTTGGTTAATCAAAGCAATGGAGAGTTAGGATATTTATAATTCAGGTCCAGAATCCAAGTATCATCATCTGCATGGCAAAATGACTGAAAGGATCAGAAATAATTTGTGTAAAGAACAAATGTGAGTACAAAGTTAACAAATGAGACTGTCATTGGCTACTAAAGTGAGTCACGATGCATGAAGATGCCCCTACTGTGGTCAACAGCGAAGGAGGGATAGCGGCGTCTCAGACACCAGTGCCCACACTCCCTGATGCCTGCTGAAGAGTGGAAAGCCTTTCTCATTCTCCCAGGGGAATTTCTTGTACACACAGATGGACAATGTGGGGAAGGAAAAGTGAATACTCACACAGTTTGTGTACACACACACACACACACACACACACACACACACACATCTCCCAATGCTCCAGAAGGGAAATTACCCTTATACACAGAAAAAGGCAATTGACATTTTGACTTGGACATTTTTAAAAGTCAAAACAGGCTGTTAAATCTGCCAGCCACACTGACTTCTCCCTGAATTTTGAGCCACGAAGAGGGAGCTTTTATATAGAGGCTGTCACCTGGGTACCAAGTCACCTCTGTCCTGTACCCAGATGACTCAGCTGTTTGGCCATGGGGGAGAGGGGGAATCTTCAAAAGAGCAAGAGCTGAAGAACAGTAGTGACGAATGTTTTAGCCCTTCTACCCCCTTTCAAAAGAAAGGAACAGTGAGACATGGGATACACTTCGATAGTTGTTTTTATTAAGTGTTTGGAGATGAATTTGTTCAGAATTTTTATCTTTGACAACTCTGGGCACAGGGGAAATCCTCAAAGAAATAGAATTGCTTCATTCTCAACATATTTGTAGAGCCAGGCTAAGATGTAGACCTGAAGTTAGGCGGAGTTGAAATGAGTCTGGCGTGCAGGGCTGGAGACCAAAGACAGACTGCCCCCTCAAAGGGCACACGAGACTCACAAGAACTAGTTACATTCATAGTGACATTCAGAATGATTAATCAAAGCAAGATGGTGAAGTGAGGAGTCACTACAAGAGAAACAGAAACTTTCTGTCTTCCCATCGGTCTGCTCAGCAACAAACAGGACAAGTGGGAAGGACGGAAAGCATTGTGGGACTGAGAACACACCATGGCCATTAAGGAAAAGGTCCCCATGCAGAGAAGGGAACAGGATGAAGAGTAGAACTGACTAGCAGGGGAAACAAAGAAGGAAATGAAAGCTGTAGAGACAATGGGACAAGAACCTCCAACAAATTACCCGAGAAAGTACCATGTAGTGTCTGGTATCCATATTTAAACCATAGGTTCACATATGGGATGGCAAGGAACTGATTGTGCTGTAACTGAGCCAAGTTTGTTTCCCTAATGCAGGAACAGTTCAGGACCCGAATGAAACAGGCAGTATGCAAAGCCAAGAGTGGCTGAGGGGCAAGTAGCTTTGGAAGATGGTCATGGAGACATCTCCAGTCTCCACGTCATCCCTTAAGTCTCAAGCACACATGTAGGTGTCTGCACGTTCATTGTCTGAGCCTCCTTTGGACATTATTTCTATAGTTTCCACAAAATACAAATAAGCAACCAAAGCCTTGGATATGTTCAGCCATTCAAAACCACTAATGTCTGAATAAGAAATGTTCTATTGACCTAACAATTTGTAGTGAAGGACCTGTGATAAATGATCTCAGAATAGAAGATTTCCTAAGAGCCCTACACAGAATCAAGATTAAAGGCAGAGGAGTTGTCCAAGAAAGATGGAGTCAGAGTGGTAATGAATCTCCAAATGATTCATCTTTCCCACAGAGATCTTCAAAGTAGAAGACAACAGGTCAGGTAGGGAAGCAAGGATGTGTTGGTGCATATGGTCTGACTGCTCTGCCCTGGGTATACCAGATGGTCTAACTGTTCCGCCCTGAGTATACCATGCCCAACAGCACAGGGTATAGGCAAATGTGGAGTTTTAAAGTAAAAAGCCCAACAGGCTAGAAATCCAACAATTCTTAGACTAGTGAAATAGATAAGGTCAGAAGGTAAACTGCTGCCCCTGCCCTGGAAATACAGCTGGGAGATGCACAAGTTACAACATGAGAAACCATGAGGCCTCTACAGGGACTGGGGCTGAACTTAACTGACCAGTTTTTGTAAGATAGATGGACACGTATGTGGGAGCTGACACTCCCAGGTGACCTAGTCACAAGTGGCTCTGATGCTTTTGTGACTTTTTAACTCCAGGAGCTTGAATAGGTTTCTGCAGTAGAACTTGATCAAGAAAATTCCCTCATACTTATAATGTAAAGAAAGGGAAAGGGGGCCATATTTTTCTTTTCTTTTTTTCTTTTCTTGAAAATAGATTATTTTCTCATACAATATATCATAATTATGGTCCCCTCTCCCTCTACTCTTCCTAACCCTACCTCACCTCCTCTTCCCTCTAGATCTACTTTCCGTCTCTCATTAGAAAAGGATAGGCTTCTAAGAGAAAACAACCAATCATAAAACAAAAACCATCAAATTCAAGTTCCACAAGGCAAACCAACAGAAGGATTAGAGCCCCATGACAAGGCACAAGAATCGGAGACCTACTCATCTACACACTTGCATCCCATAAAAACACTAAGTTGAAAGCTATGCTATAGATGCAGAGGATAGGGTGCCAAACCATGTTGGCCCTGTGCTTGGTGAATTCAGTCTCTGGAGGAAGCCATTTAAATAGACCAGCTCATTCTGATCTTTAATGACGTCTACCTGGAGAGAAACTGCCTACTAGGACATACTGCTGCTTTCTCAGAGCCTAATTGGCCTGGGTACAGGAAAAGCCCCAGCTGAAGCTAGATGTGGCCTTCCACACATCAGGAGGGAACGCCCAATGCTCTAGCTCCTTCTATCGTGTTTTAAAAATGAGGGACACCTGTGACGTTCACGCTCCAAGGGCATAGGTGCACTAAGGTCCCATCACAGAATGACAGAGGGCTCCCCTTCCCTGACTGCTCACTTCTACACTCCCAAAAGCCAGGCCAAAATACAACCTCTACTCAGTACTTTGTGTCTAGAGAGCAAAAGAAAAAGCACAAGGCATTTTGAAGATAAAACAGTGTGAAGAGGCAGAGTGAGCATCAGAAGGAGCCGCAGCAGAGACGTTGGAGCTATAATGGAAAGCAACTGTGTTAAACGCGCTAGGGGCGCTGCTGTACAAAGCAGGCATCAGTTAAGAACACACGGTGAGTATGCACAGAAAGACAGAAATCATGATCACAACCCTGCCACCCCACAAAACTGGAAATGATACCACAGCAGACATGAAGATCTTTGATGAGCTTTGTATTTGTAGACAGAGTTGTGGGATGAATCTTCAAGAGCCATGCATCAACTGTTCAAGCTGTTAGGGGCAGGACAACAATAAGTGAGGAGAGAGAGGCAGGAGAGATAGTTGAAGCAATAACGACAGAAATTCCAGGAAGCTCAGCGAATACAAAGTGGGATAAACAGGGGGGAGAGAGTGGGGAGAGACAGGCAGACAAGAATAAATAACCCAACATGTTGGGTGGCAAAAGAAACCAAGATACAAAAAGAGTATTGAAATAATCTGGAAGGAAAAATAAAAAGCACCTTTACCTGTAAAGGAGTGAAGATAAAAAAGATGTCATGGAGCAAGCAAGAGGACTTAAAGTTTTAAAAGAAGAAAACGTTAAATGAAACTATCCCTGAAAGTGGAAGTAAATAGAAAACACCGTCAGACATGGAAAACTGGTGGGGTCTGCCCTGTGTCTGCTTCTCATGAAACATGAAAGGCGTCAGGGAACCACACAGCTCAGAAACACAACATGCAAAGAGAAAGGGAGAGCACCGAAGAAGGCTTAAGTGACTGGGAAATAAACCGAAATTTCTTATCCTTTATTGGCCTAGCAGGATGTTCAAAGTAGTAAGAGCAGAAGCAGATCTACTTGTGTATCCTCATCTACATATGTAGATTTATAAATACATATTTATAAAGAGAGATCTGACCTGCATACTTGTGGATAAGTTAAATTAGTAAAGCAGTGACATAAGGGACGAGGGGGAGGAATTCAAATTTCTTCAGTGGATAAGGAACGCTAGATGTGAAGTAATACAGAATCATTTCAAAGTGAACTTGAATTATACATTATAAACTTTAGTGCAACCACTAAAATGGTTTTTAAAGTGCAACTGACAGCTATTCAAAGAAAGACACTGTAATCATGAAATATTCAAATCATAAAAGGAGACCAGACACAGTGGCATATGCCTTCAATCCCAGCATTCTGGAAGTTGGGGCAGTAGGACCGTAAAGTTGCATCCCACCTGGACTATATAGCAAGACCCTGTCTCAAGAGCAGACAGACATACAGACAGGGGTGCTAGAGAGATGGCTCAGCAATTAAGGAGAAGTTCCCACTAAGACCAGAAGCAAGGCAGGGGTGTCCCTTCTAAGCATGCACTTGTCAATGTCATGCTGGAAGTCCTAGCTAATGAAATAAGACAAGATAAAGAAATGTATACGGATTGAAATTGACGACTTCTTTGCTCATACATGGCACAATTATCTTTGTATAGAATGGAAGAGAATGAAAATAGCCAACAGCCCTGCCAGAAAATAGCAACAGCAGACATTACAGCAAGGCTGTCACTGGGGGGTTCATGTACAAAATTCAATTGGCTTTCTATGTACCAACAATAAAA